TATATATATATATATATATATGAAAGTGTTTGGATATGTAGGTATAGTTATGTTTATGTGTATATGTATTAATTTATATATATATATGTATATGGGTTTGGTTTTCAGCAAGGCTAAAGTCATTATAAGTATTTAGAAATGCATTTTTGTTGCTGTGGTTTTATCTTTGTTTTGTAGGTGTGGAGCCGAGAAGTCGGGTGTGCTGTCTTGTGTTTCCTCAACTTACACTCCTCAAAAAAATAAAGGGAACACTTAAACAACGCACGCTAAGTCCAAGTAAATCAATCTTTTGTGAAGCACATTCAACTCTGTACAGAACAAAGTACTCAATGCGAATATTTCGTTGATTAAGATCGGGAGTTAGCGTGCGTTGTTTAAGTGTTCCCTTTATTTTTTTGAGCAGTGTATATTTCACATATCTTCAAATCTCTCTTTCACTCTTTCTCATTACATTTCACTTTACTTTCTCTTTCTCCTATTAAAAAAGCCACTGATGATGAAGAAGCTAAGACACTAATATTCAGATATTCAGTTCTGCTTTCTACTGAAGTGGCAAAAAAAAAGACTCAAAATTGTCAAATTTCTGGTGATAAACCAGTCAAAACAAAATGAGCTCCAACCATTAGCCTCCATCACCATGCTTGTTAGCTGGTAAAGGATGACTGAATGATATTCTGTTTGGTTTTCTTCTCATTTCATGCTGTGCAGAAATATAAGAAAACGTCTCCAATTCAGTTTCATTTGTCAAAAAAAAAAGTTCTGGAGGTCTTTGTTTAAATTCAGTCTTTCAAACTGAACCAACATTGAGAGATGATTTCTTTTTGGAAAGATTCCAAAGAAGTCGTACTTTTTTACTTTTTTTTCCTATTATGAACTAATTAAGGGCCCTGTCACACTAAAATGTTTTAGACAAGTTGGGCCAACTAATGAAAATGTTGTCCAATAGTACAGATGCTGAAATTTAAAATAACTATTGTAAACACTTACATACTTTAATGCTAACGAGTTAAATATATTACGTAAATAAGGAGTTTATTCATAACATTTTTACAAGTTATCATAAATTGTCTAAAACATTATAGTGTAACAGGGCCTGTTTATTCTGAGATGTAGCTCTTGGGTTTTATTCAGTTTGTCTGATAATTAGATCAGGATGTTTACACAGTTTAACTGCAGATGTAGCTCTCTAACTACAACATGGTTCACTCCTGGCACTGGACCTTTGCTGAGTTTTACTGTTGTATTATGTGAAGGAAAGGTGTGTGAGTTGATTTTGCAAGGCAAGTCAAGAAAAGCTGGTAAACCCTTGAATTCTGGGCTAGAAACCAGCTATGTGTTTTTTAAGAGATCCTGTTTGATAGATTGTTTTAAATACTTCCCTGTCTTTACTGATCCAGGCTCTTGCAGGCCCTCATTTTTACACATGGGGTGACCATGGTGGCATCTTGATGGCCATTGCACAGGGAGGCTCTACAACACATCTCAAGTAAGTTTCACCAAGCAGTTCAGATTCTCTTTGGAAGAACAAGACTTGAGCTTTGATCCAACATATAAAGGTTTGCTTGTGAAAGCAATGTTTCATTTTAAAACTCAGAAACATTTTCAGACAAACTGAGGAGTGAAGTGAAGAGCAGCTGTCCCCTGAATAAACTCACGAAGTAGCAGCAGAAACAGGTTGTTAAAGTGAAATGTTTCTGTGTGAACAGCAGTCCTACAAGCATCTGTCTTTTATGAAAACTGGCCATTTCTAATTTAAGTTGTCATTGTGATGACTTTTTTGTGTGTTTGTTTTTACCATTTCCAGTATTTGCATTTGAAGTATTAATTTACAACTTGCTCAAAATACTATGAAAACATGACAGATTTATTTATTAAAGCTTGAGGCCTTTTTTTAGAGCTCAGTCTGTAGCTTTTTTTACCAGGAGAGAAAGAAATTTAATAAAATTGTTAAAAAAACATCTGATCTGCACCAAAGTGCAAATATTTGTTTTTATTTTAGTTTTCAATACAGCTTCAGGACAGTTTTATGCTTTTCTTTTAGCCCCGCCCACTGGGAACAGGAAGTTGTTTTATTCATGGTAGTCAGCAGCTGTGTTTCCATTGACCATGAAAATGTACAAATTAGAATTTTGAAAATAAATTTGCTCAATGGAAACACGTCAATTTAGAAAAAAATTACATTTTTTGACAAAATGTTTTTGCTCTAGGATGAGGTGGTTTTTCAGCCGTATTTAAATTGGTGTTTTTCGCAAAACTACAATGGAAACACTTTTTTCACATCACAGGAGTCACGTGATCAACAACCGTCTGTTTCTACTGGTGAAAAAGACGATGACAAAGAAGACAACGGGAAATAGAAGTAGTAGTAATATCACAGAAGTAGTATAAAAT